GTCTCGCCTGTCTCATTTTAAGGCCATTCCGTCTGGTCCGCTCACTGCAGCACGGCAGAAGAGACCGGCCCCCACCGCACCACAACCCCTTGTCAGGGAGCTGGAGAGAGCARTGAGGTCCCCTGGGCCTCCCTCTGAGATTTCTTTGTTTAAGCTCATTTGTTTTTTCCTTATCGGTTCACGGATGTTGTTTTCACGGAGGAAGAAGTAAGAAAGTACCATTTGCTGCTAATTTTCCAACTTTATTTTTTTCCCGCTGTAATAAAGCACTCTCTGGTAACGGCCTCATGTCTGCCTTGTCTTGTGTGGATGGGTGAGCTGTGACATTGGTGTCACTGTGTCACCTGTCCCATGGTCCAGCACCTGCCTGGGCCCTCTCCCACAGGCATGTGTCAGAACCAGAGCTTTTATCCTGGAGAGGCTCCCTTGGAGAGACCATGATGTAAAGTGTACCAGCGACAGATAAATCCCAGAACAAACTTTCATAAGTCAATTTCCATAATTATCCCCCATTTGCTTATTTAGAGTGTGAACTTCTCTAGCATCAGTTTTTGGCCTTTCCTTTTTCATTGCAATTCTTTGTCTGTTGTCAAATCCTGTTCATCATAAAGATAAATAAATGTTCTGAGTGCCCTGGAGCTTCTCTGTTCACCTAAGAAACCAGAGTGTTCATTAGAGGAGTTTAGCAGTCCTCCAGCACCTAGGAAGGAGGTCTGCTCCCACCTCCCATCTCTTTCTCCTGTCCTCAGCCAGCCCCAGTTGTTGTCGAACCCTCCTGAGGGAAAGCTTAGCTCATTGATTGCCCCAGTAGAAATCAAATCCACCAAAAAACATGAATATTTTTCTTCTGGTTAGTGAGCCAAACTAGCAATAAAAGRCTCTGTCAAGCACAAGCATGAGCCAAAGCAATGGAGTGTGTGGCTGGAAATACAAGAAAGGAGGAAGAGGAAGGAGAAATGAGATTAAGRGGGAAGGTTGATTCCCTTCATTCTGGCACTAACAGGCTGTTTCATCATTTGAGCTGTCTGCACAATCATAACTTTTGTTATGCTAAACTGAAATTTTGCTCCAATGAATATTTTATATTCTGTTGCTGTTGCAGTATATTTTTTCAGTTCTTGATTATTTCCAATTGCTCAGCATCTTTGGTGAGCACAGACTGGGGTAGCAGCCACCAGCTGAATACAGAGAAACAGCAACTCTCCTGCTGCCCAAGAAGTTCTTGTTTCTATATCCAGCAACGAGCCAGGCATGGAACCTTCCTGCATGCCAGCAGCTGAACCATCAGCTTCTGAGTTACACCACTATGGGTCATTAAATATATATGAAGTGAAGTCCTGGGCTTAGGGTATAAATTCACAAAAATCMTGTGTTACGTGTCTTCTGAGCCAGGAGGGAGGGAGAGAATCTAGCTCCGGTTTAATAATGACAGGTGTTATTTATTGCTTTAAAAGTGCTAAATGTTCTACATAGCCAGAAGAGATTTTGATGTAAGTTCAGTGAAAGTTTTAAAACCATGCTCAGACCAAGTGTGTAACTCTTCATCCTCTAATGAGCTCAGTGCAGTGAAGCCCTGGACCCACCCTGTAGAATCAAGAGCATTGTTGTTCATGTAGCGTGAAAATTGCAGGTGTGTGATTGACAGTTTTCCAGGTCGTGCAATTCTGCTGGGTGCCARTGCTGACAATTGAAGGGAGGTGCTTTCTTTTGGTTTGATTTTAAATGCTCCTCTCATTGCAAAGACCTTTCTTCTCTCCAAAAGACTAGGTTGTTATTTGCGTTCTCTGCGTTACTTTGTGCCTTGTCTTGGCCTTGCACTGTCAATGCACCTTCCCTGATTTTACTCACGAGACTCAAATGGATGTTCATTTTCTTTATGATGATGGCCTCGTCCAGTATAGTTTATTACTTGTTGACCATACTCTGTGTGTACTATTATAGAGTAGTCTGAGAACAAACAAAGTCCAGGTTATGGGCAATAGCTCTGGGACCACATCCATCTGTGGGATATCCCCCTTGGTATSAAAAGTGAATTCATCATCCTCATTTCCTAATGTATTGTGGAATATGATTTCAATAAAGACGAACTGGATAAGGCTGCTTCTTCTTGCTTAAGAAGAGCTATTGGACAGAGAAGGATTGCATCTTTTGTACTGAAAAGCTTTTTTAAAATTGTTGTTCATTTAAATATAGGAACAAAACATAGTAAACCAGAAAGATAATTGCTGAAAAATGGGTATGTCCAGTCTGTGCAGCCAGTGCAGTCTGGCATGTCTCAGGGTCCTCATCCTTCAAACACACAGACTAAAGACAATTCCAGCTACTAGTCTAGTCTTGTTTCTTTCCCAGGGCAACCAAATCTTGGAAGGGGGTCACTCTGACATGAACTGAGACCTGAACACCTGGGACAAGGGGGATKTTTCTGTGCCCTGGAGTTTGAAGGGAGCAGAAGAAGGGCTTGGCCATGTTTTCTAGGAACACTACTGAGTCTGGGACGTTCTAAGGAGTCAGAGGTGAATCGCCCGAAYAAATGGCTCTAGATTAGTTTCTGAKGTATGTGCATCTATTGTTTGAAAGAAGTGGAGCAAATGGCCAAGTYATTAGACTTTGCTTGTTGAAATTAAAATAGCCATGGGCAAATGTGATAATTTTCCATTGTCAGTGTATTGTTTGCGGGTTTTTTTACTGATCTAGTGCCAACTTTCAAAGAATAATAAAAAATCACCTACTGACCAGTATCAGTTTCAGCTGTTGCAAAAATCTCAATAAAATAATACATAATTATTACTGAAAAATGCACTTTTCTCCTTTGAAGATGAAAACAGGTTGTGCTTTTGTTTGTAAGGAAGCACTCCACCCATTCAACAAGATATTATTAGTGGTCTTTCAAAATATGTACAAATTGTGCAAGATAGCATCCTGTCAGCACTGGAAATTGTAATTGTATTAAAGTGGTTCCATAAGTGGGGTGGTTATGAGTGAGTTAATGGATCCTGCTCTAAGCCAGGTGCAAGGAGTGTCCAGATGTGTTGTTTGTATTTCTAGAACAAAACTACCCCAAAGCTGCTTAATTAACTGTAGGGCTGCATTGCACTGTGCCTCTAGACTTTGTGTACAAAAATTTTGGTACTTTCCAAAGAGAAACAAGAATGTCAGCATAAACCCCTGTAATGCAGAAGAGATTACATTACAGGAGCTTTGCCCCAGTAAGGTACTTAATATTAGGAACTGCTGGGTCACTTTGTTCCTCATTCCTG